GATTAGTTGGAGGAAAATGTAGAAGTTTGGGTAATTGTCAAGGGCTCATCAATATCTGTAGTTTGCAACTGGGTGGTGGTAGCACATGCCTTTAATCCCAGCACTCAGGAAGCAGAGCTAGGTGGATCTCTGTGAGTTTGAGCCAGCCTGGGCTACAGAGTAAGTTCCAGGAAAGGCACAAAGCTACACAGAGAAACCCTGTCTTGACAAACCAAAAACTAGAGAGAGAGAGAGAGAGAGAGAGAGAGAGAGAGAGAGACCTGTAGTTTGTACTTTGCCTGCTCAGCTGAGTCACCTGGAGAGCTGAAAACTACCCACCGACTGGTAATTAATGTCAGATGTTAGATGCTTGTGTCCTGAAGTTTCAATTTAGATGATTTATGTGTGTGCCTTGGAGTAAAACCCACTGTCCTAGGGAGCATGGGAGGGGAGAGGACTGAAGACTGGGTGCTTTCAGGACAGGGTGCTTTCAGGATGTCTCTGTTAGGTCCTGCAGAAGAACATGAAATGCACAAAATGAAACAGGACAATATCAACAATGGTTGAGGACAGGTGTACAACCAAGTAAAGGAAGGGCCATGAAGCCTGTGACAGCAGACCTGTCCCATGTCTGACTTCCAGGAGGTGGTATTGGGAAAGTCTGAGTGCTCCCATGCCTCTGTGAAACTCCCCAAGAAGCAGGGGCACAGCTGTTAGCTGACTCTCTCCATGGGCCTTCAAAGGACTCAATGTTTCCCCACAACAACTATTAAAAAAAAATACAAGAAAGAAAATCCCCACTGTGCTGTGGGGAAATGCTCAAAGGTTACCCCGATTCTCCATTGCAGAGTGCTGATATGGACTGGCTGTCTTCCCCAGTTTCTGCACCTGCAGTCATATTTTTCAACAGATTTTGTTTATTAAGAACAATTTATGCTCACAGCAAAACTAAGTGGAAAGTAAAAAGATTTCCCACAAAACTACCTTCCCCATTCAACACACACACACACACACACACACACACACACACACATCCTTTACTCATTGACAGAAAGAACAAAAGTGAAAGATAAAAACGAGGGAATTGGGACAGGAAGGAAAGGAAAGAGAAGGAGGAGAGGAGACAGGGGTCTTCTTTTTTTCATGGCTCTTTTTGGGGGTTGAAATTTTTAAATTTTTATTTATGTGTATGTGGGATATGTGTGACTGACCAAGGAGGCCAGAAAAGAGGATGGGATCCCCTTCAAATAGAGTTTTAGGCATCTCTGAATGGACTCACGTGGATGCTGAGAATGGAATCAGTGTCTCCTGTGAGAACAGCAAGTGCCCTTGTCTGCTGAGCCCGCTGTCTAGCCCTGGGCTACTGTTTTGACATGGGTTCTTCCTATATAGTAGGCTAGCCTGTACCTTGTGATCCTCCTGCCTCAGAGTCTTCAGTGTTGGGATAACAGGTATGCATGATCATGCCCAGCACAGCTGACTTTATAGATGAATACATTCATTTCATTGTCTGAGTGTACTAAAGCTCATTGATTCATCTGCTGTTGGGAGACAGTTTGGGAGCTTCCAAGTTCTGGAAACTCAGCTAAGCTGCTGTAAGATTTCAGGTGCAGGGTTTTTGCTTGTTTGTTTGTTTGTTGGGTTTTCAACTGCTTTAGGTAAGTATCAAGGAGTGGAGGGACTTCTGGGTTAGATGATCAACCAGAGTCTGCCCTTTGTGAGCCTGTGAAGAAGTTAATTACAATAATAAAAAACAAACTTTATCTCAAAGAAGGAAATACATGGCTTCAGAAGTCCACCAGGAAAGAGAAAGATTCCCTCAAATTGGGAAGGAAAAGGGCATGTGATATAGAGAAGTACAGAAAGCATGGGTCTCAGCTGTGCAATATCCTCATGTGAAGAGGAAGTAGAAACTGCTTCCAAAGCAAAGCCAGAGGAAGAATGGCCTGTCCTCCCACAGGACAAGCCCACAGCCCTCAAGCCTCAAACACAGCTGTGGGTTTTGATTGGACTGATTCCTCTCGCAGATGTCTCAGTGGTAGAGAAAAATCCCATTTTGCCCACCTTGTGACTCAGGTTCCTCAACCTGGAGCCATCTTGAGAGATAGGCCTCAGTTTAGCCTTGAAGTCTACAGTGAGGGAAGGCCCAGAGATATAGCTGTATAAAACATAAGGACCAGGCAGGCACTGACTGGTACAGACACCAGGAGGCTGAGTTCAGGCTAGAAAGTAAGGGATAAGAGAGAGCCTTGCCTCAGAGTCCTGACAGATCTCATCAACTATCAGTAAGATTGGAGTTTGGTACCATCGAGTCTGAGCCAGTGGGTCGAGCAGATTCTGGGGGCATCTATTGTTCATTGTTGTAAAGACTAGGGGTTTGGAATTTATGGGATATACAAGATACCCACTCTAAATGTCTCTCCTGCCCTCACAGGTTCCTAATTTTTAACACACCTCATCTACCCAACATTTATTAATGCTTTCATTTGATTTGGGGGGCATGGTTTTTTGTTTTTTTTCAAGACAAGGTTTCTCTGTGAAACCTTTGGATTCTGTCCTGGAACTCACTTTGTAGACTAGGCTGGCCTCGAACTCAAAGAGATTCACCTGCCTCTCCCTCCCAATGCTGGGATTAAAGGCATGTGCCACCATTGCCCAGCTTCATTTGATTTTTATTTTGTATTTGCCATGCAAGGAAGGATTTAGATTTTTAAGTAAGATCAAGCATAATCATGAATTTCAATATTTTTATTATGAAATGGATCTTAGCTATAATACTAGAAGCATGAACAATTGAAATAATAGTTAAGTTGTACTTTATTAAAATGTAAACCTTTAGTATGACAAAATACTCTATCAAGAATGTGGAGATGGTGGTACTCTCAATCTGGTCAAGAACCCATGGCTGGGGAGGGACTAGGTCATGGACAGAACCTGCAGCTATTCTCCCAAAGGGAGTTGGTATTAAGATGGTGGTTTATACAGAGACTCACACCTGGTTAAAGTGCGGAAAATAAGTGACTGTGCAGCTCAGCCCTCAACTGGACATCTTTATCACACCCATTCTCCCCAAGGCTCAGAACATCGTGGAAGAGGAGGTAGAAAGATTGTAAGAGCTAAAGGTTGGGGTGGACTTCTTCAAGACAGTGTCTCCTGAATGTGATGGAGCTGTTGCACTTCTGAGACTCAGCAACTATTATTGCCTGACAAGATCTGCATGAGATCAACCAGCATGGATAGGGAGAGATGCCTGAAGCCCATGGACAACTAAGGAGCTTTTTGGCATCTGGGAGATCCTTAAGGAGAGAAGGTCAGTTTTTTTCAGTGGTGTAGCACCCGGTAGGTTGTCCATTCTCTAGTGGATGGCCCTGTGTGCCTGTACAAAAAAAACCAGTAGTAATTAGTCTGTGGATTAATAAAAATATACATAAAGTGACATGTGGTAACATGTACTTTTAATCTCAGCATTAAGGAGGCAGAGACAAGGCAGGCAGATCTTTGAATGTGAGGTTCCAGGACAACCAAGCCTACACAAAGAAACCCTGTGTCGAAAAGCAAACCAAAAGGAAAAAAACAAACCCAAACAAAACCAGAAGTTGAGAGGAGTTTCAGAGGAGTTGGAGGAAGGGGAGTAAATGGGATCTCAATATTTCATATTCAAGTATAAAATCGCCAGAGAATAAATTAAAAAATAAACAAAATATCTGAAGAATAAGAAATAGTAAGTAGAACAAGGAACAACAATGAATGTTTGAATAAACAAATAAGTAAATAAAACAAAAAGAGTCTAAGGAATGGGTGAACACATTCATGAATAATACATGCTGTGGGATGTCTTTCTGTACCCTGTGAATATGTGTTGCTCTGATTGGTTGATAAATAAAACTGGCCAATGGTGAGGAAAAATAAGGCTAGGCAATATATTTGCACTGAAGAGAGAGAAGAAGAAAGGAGAATGGGGGGG